ATATCTTATTAAAGATTTTTTTTTTATACGTATTGAAATTAACTTTTGAAATTAAAGTTTTTTTCGAATATCGAAAATGAGTTCATTTTTTTTTAGCTATTCAAAATTTTTTTTTTTTTTAAAAAAAAAAGGAAAATTAAAAATTCGTTATAAAAAGATTTGATCATTTAAAACTAAAAGATCAAAAATCAATTTTATCAATTTTATCAATTTTTGATATTCCGAATATCAATAAAGTTAATTTCGAATATTTTAATTTTTATAACTTTTTTTTTAATTTTTTTTTTTTTGTTAAAAAAAGAGAGCTTTAAATCGTTGGATTCGGTTCTTGTGATATTTTTGATGACAAGGTCGATCTATATATTAAGAAATAAAACGTTAAAAGGACGAAACAATAGGGCAATGATGATGAAAAATAAAAGAAACCGAATTTATGGATCTTTTTATTTCTATTGTTATCGTATATTTTTAAATCTAATTAATCAACTAAATTGATCTATGCATTTATGGAAGTCGTTGCTATTTTTATAAAGCGCAGTCACATTAACCAACATCCGTATGAATCAAAAGTATTACACGTATTTTAACGCATTTTCACCTCAACATTCTAAATAAAACTTCTTTAATTTACATCAAACGACAATGGAAATTTCTCAAATGATAATGCTTTCATATGTCATGCATCTATTTGAAGTCCTAAGATAGCAACATTTATTTCCATTCTTCGCATCATTCATTATTTAGAGGATAAATACAAAAATTTCTTGTGTACGTATATAGTTCATGTTTTTAGTTTTTTTTTCTATAATTAGACCAATTTTTTCCTTATTTGTGAATATTATTACTTTAAAGGAGGTAAAAAAATATTTTATTTATTTTTATTTTTAGCCTTGATATCATCTCACGTTACGACACAAAATGAATTGGTTAAGGAAGGGTGTGTTTAAAGTACCAATTTATGTAATGGATTTTCACTTTACAATATACTGTATATAACTATTTTTTTTTCTATAAAAACCTTAGTGTTCGTAAAAATTTAAGAAGGTCCTTGTTATGATTAACATTTGACAATAAAAATTATTTTGATATCATGAATTTGTTAAAGTGTGATGAATTGATGAAATTGATTAGTTATTTTTGAATTTTGTTTTTTAGTTGTAAATAGGAATTAGAAAAAAAAAATTTACTTCCGAACCTTAATACTCGGTAGAATATTAAATAACTTATGTAATCATATTGATGCGCCACATTACTGATTTGGAAAGTCAATTGTTGCTTAAAAAATAATAGCGCATTTGTAATGCACGTGATATAATGGATTTGAACACCAATCACACCAATCAAATTTTCTTATTATATTATATGTACCCAAACCCTCACAGATTCTCCATTAACGTGAATACTTTCTTTGACGACCGCTTATTAATCTTATATTCTAATGCAAAAAAAGGTAAACTAAAACATCTATATAAGGTATTAAGACACCATTATTAGTTAACACATTGAATCGTATTATTTTATCAATGATGCTGATCCAACAATTTTTACAAAATATTTTACCTGTTTATTTTTATAACATCGATGAATAGCATTCCATCGCCTTCTAAGTTATTACGAATTCTTCCAAAAAAAAAAAGACAAGTTTAGATGATCGGATAATTTTCTAGGAGTTTTCAACAAATAATTCCATAATCAAAGTAGAGAAGGTAAAACGCGTAATGCGAACGAAACGACAATTATAAAAAAAACATTTGACCAAACGCTGATCCTTACTTGAGAAAGAACTAGGATGTGAGAATTATCTCATTTTGAACTTTAATGTTTAACTTTCGTAATGGAGATATTGATGGACAAACATTTAACGCATCCAGTCTAGCGTTTCGAGAGTCGTTCTTAGATATCATGTCAATGTAACCCGAAAAAGCTAAGATGGAGTCACCGATTTGCGGAACGTTTTCTATGTTAGTTCCGCCTAAAATAAGTAAATGAAACTTACAACTTTTCAAGATTAAGTTTTTAATTACCAAGATCAATGACATTTTTTTCTTTATGATCGAAGATATTAAGACATAATAGAAATGACGATAAATGCTTATCTTTTCAAATTACTAAGGCGGAGTCGATATATCCACGAGGTGGCACGAGTAGATCAAAATGCTTAAATCCGTAAGCTGTTAATAAAGTTAAAAATGATAGGTTATAGATAAAAATTATTATTATGTTCATTTTAAGATAGATGAACAAATAAAAAATTTGACGAATGGAATTCCTTGTCTTATCATTGTAAGAACGTCTCAAACCGTACGTAAAAATGTAATCATACCAATGGAAACTTCAAAAATTATGAAGAATCGTCGTATAGGTACTTTTTTATATCGGGAGTTATCCTTTAAAATACATTAACTTCATTTTTTAGATCAGACGTTTGAAGAAGGTAAGCACTAATCATCTTTGATAATATTTTTTTGTACTCACATGAATCTCGCACCTTCCCTTGCAAAAAATCTAAAAATTTGTTTGATGAAATTAACATAATTCCCTCCTTAATCTGCACGCAATAATGAAAATTTGAATTATGTGAGTTATAAAATCTACATTCGTATAGAGAGATCGCATGTTAAGCAAATTACGCGAGCAATTTTTCCTTACAAAGTTTTAATTTGTTCAATTAAATTTAGACTCAGCCCCAGCGACCTGTTAAATATTTTTTTATGATCTTTAGTTAAACACAATAATTCACAAAAAATTTTGTGTTTCCATATTTCTCACGATCCGAGAATTCCGATCAAAAGGTAAATTACGTGTTATCTTTGTTCATATGTTGAGAGTCCCATTGTCAAATTGTAACTGTAAATAGAGAAAAGGAAGAAAGAAATTGTTGGCAATGGTAAAAAAACATGTTATTATACATTAAAATTTTATCAAGTAATAATGTTCAAATGGTCTTTATTGGCTCGAGTATACCTTTTTGATTCTTACCTTATAATAATTAATAATTGATGAATATTTTTGTTCGTTCTCAAATCTCTTTGAAAATTATCTCAACTTGATCATCTTTCATGTATGGTAACAAAATGTATGATAACATAGGTACTCTTAATCTCATTACATAATTTGTTGCTTTGTATATATTGTAGAAGAATTTGGTTGTAATATTAATGCGATGTCACGTGTTAAAGTAATATTACATAATTGAAGGTTTTTAATTTTTTTCCTACATTTCCACAATTTTTTTCAATTTTCACCCAGATTGCTCCAAATTTGGAACAGCATTGATTTAAAAAAAATTGTTTTCATGATTCCGATAATCGATAAGAAAAATTTCAACCCGTTTGTGAGTCAACATCTCGTTGTTGCGGTTGTTAATAGATAATTCGAATGCCCGAGAATATAGTTATCATTGTGATTTCTTATCTTATAATATTATGATGAATTTCTTTGTTCCTATCTTTAAGTCATGCCATTAAAAAAAAATTATCTTCTTTGCATATTGTTTTCAATTCATGTAAGTCACTACTTTTTTGATTTATCATAATCAGATGCAAATAAATGTGGACAATGCATAAGAAAGCTTTAATCATCACAACTTTGTAAATGTGATGTCACACGTTTAAGTAATATTACATAAGGTAATAACTTCTTCATTTTTTCGAACTTCCACTCAGATTGTTCTAAAATTCCACAAGAATTATAGTCCAACCAATTTTAATCTTATTGTTCATCCTTTTTTTTTCCAAGATAAGCCGTTAAAAAAAAAAAAATTTTGTCCTTCATGATCGACGACTCTATCAGTTTCTGATTATCAATAAAACAGTTTTTCCGACATGCAAAGTTGTGAATCCCATTGTCTAAGTTGTAGTTGTTAATAGAGAAAGAATTGAAAGTGTATATTATAAATTAAGTTAATATAAAGTGCTAATGTTCAATTGAAGTTAATTATTACCTTATAATATTATGATGAAACATTGTTGTGTTTCTTTGTTCCAATATGTAAATCTCCTTGAAACTTGATAAAGGAACTATTTCTTTGATGAAATTTTGCAGAAAAAGTTGAACCGAAAAGTCTTTAATTATATCAAATTTGTAAAATGTTGTGACATGTTAAGGTAATATTACACATGTATCGAGGTTTCAAATTTTTCAATACTACCGGATTGATTAATCAGCCAGAATTAATCAATCAATTGTCTTGATCTTCCTTTTTTTTCTTTTCTTTTTTTTTAATGGACATTCGGAAACTTTATAATAATTCATCCACGTGCTTTAAGCCTATATCTTCGAATATGAATCCCATTGAGCTGTTAATAGAGATAAGAAAGTAAGTAATTGTTGTCAATCTTGTTAATAAACATTAAAATTTTCAAAATGAGATTATCGGATTCGAGAGGAGAGAATAATTTGATTTTTTACTTTGTAAAGATATGATGCGATCATATCATGCTTCTTTGTTCCCATGAGATTGTTTTCCTTAAATTATATCGTTAAAGTTTGATCCACTGACAATCGTTTGATACAATAATACATGAATTTTACAATAAAACTAATAATCTATAAAAAAAAAAAAAAAGTTATTGGATGCAATTAACAAATGAATTGAAATTATTACATCATTTTTGAAATGTAGAACTGATAAACTATGCATGTTTTACAGGAAAATTGGATTACGTTGGCTGTAAAGTCTTTGTAAAAGTGATCTCACATACCAAAGTAATATTCTTATGTAACTTACTTTATTTAATATACAAAATTTCAACTTTTTCTTTCTTTATTTCGACCCAGATTAATATTTCAAATTCAATCAACTAATTGCCTGGATGTGATTAACTCAGCATGATCTTCTCTCCTTTTAATTTTAATGGTAATTTGGGATCTCTAACTCATCACAATAATCCACAAAATAAAATTTTTTTGTTTTTTTTTTTTTTTTGTGTAAAAGAAGTCGTTAAAACAAAAAATTTTACGAGATCCGATATCGAAAAAAAACTATAATATCACGTGTTTTAACGCTGTAATTTGGTGAATCCCATTACCTAGGTAATAAAGGAAAAGAGTTGGAACGTTGTTACAAGAAATCGATTCGAACGAATAGAAGACTGAATATATAATTTTCATTTTGATTCCTTACCACGATGAATTGTTGTTGTGCGTCCTCTACATTATGTCTTGTTTCAACTTGATAATCTTTCAATGTATGACATGAATTCTTTGATGATATCATATCTTATTACATAAGTTTTTGGATGTAATCTATATGAACACTGTATGCAATGCAGAAATTTAATTGTGTCATAAATTCTTCAACTAAACCCAAATTTGTAAAAATGATTCACCCATAAAGTATTACACACCCATTTCAGATTGTTTCAAAAGAATCACTCATTATTGTTCATCCTTTTTTTTTAATGGTCATTCGGATCTTAATTCATCACAAATTAAAAATCTTTTTTTTTTTTGTGTTCTCAACAGTTCAGGGTTGCATGATTCAATCAGCTTCCGATAATCCGTTAAAAAAGACATAATACGTGCTATAAAAATTTTTTCGACATAATAAGTATGATGAATCCTATTGTTAACTTGCAGCTGGATGATAGCAAAATAATAGGAATTAAAAAAGAACACGTATTATTAATACATACATTAAGATATTTATTATAATCGGCCGATGATATAGTTTTTCTTTTTCTTACCTTGTGACTTTGTTTCTTTCTCTAGATTATACATTAAAGTATGCAACCCTTGTTCTCAACTTGATAATCTTTTTAACATGATCTTATCGAATGTAACTACTGTAATTTAATGTGTGTGTCATAAATTCTATAGCTAAACCGATTTGACTAGAACAATATAACAACAAATTGTTATATCTTATTTTTTTTTTAAAAAAAAAAAAGATCTCTTTGAAACTTAATTCATTCACGAAAAAGAAAAATCTTTTTTTGTATACTGCCAAAAAAAAAGGCGTTAAAAAAAATTAAACTTTCTTCGTGACCGTCAAAGTGCAGGTTTCCTTCATCTAATCGATAAGAAAGTTAAATCACACGCTTTAAAGCTACATGTATATTTCAAACAATTAATAGAAGGAAAAAAAAAAGATGGTAAAGATTAAATGTCTTTGTCATTATACAATAAGATATAACAACATGAGCAAATTCGATCGAAAATTGTTTCAAATCAATCAATTCGATGCGATTCATTCCCACCTTATCATAATAAGATTGTTTTTCCTTTGTTCTTTTGTAATTTCTTACACTAAAATTATGCATTTCAAATACTTGATACATAAAGATAAAGATAATCGTGTGGTACCGGCATAAAAAGTTGTAACATTCAAGAAAATCCCTTAATATCTATCCATCACGCGGTTGTTTGGAATATTGGAAGGTAACCAACCTTGCATGCAAATATCATATGATACAGAAATAAAGGGTTTTATTTAATGATATTAAATATGATATTAAAATGATGATAAATGTTAAAGTAAAAGAATGTACTCTTAACTTGTATACAAGATATTTCGCCAATTATTAATCATTTTTTTAACCAATAATCTAAATTAACGATCTGCATGTGTTTGACGCGTGATTTTACCAAAGATTTTTTCGTTAATAAAAAAAACAAATAAGGATCTGGTAACATTGTAAAAAGAAAAAGAAAATTTGATCTCGTTATAGGAATTTATTTTAAAAAAATGTTATGGTGTTTGGTGGTATTGGGTAACATTAAATATGCGGAGAAAATTAAGTTTCAGTTGAAAGTTATTCAGAAATTATATATAAAGTGGATAATCTTTTTTTTTTTCTTAAATAGAAAACAAAAGCTGTTTGGCGTTTTAATTCGACTAACTTAATATTAGAGATAAGGTTCAATGTGATAATACCATACCCCTTAATTTTCCTTTTTTTATTTTTTTTGCAGTTTATTTTAGTGCCAGATTTTCATTTGTTTTTTGGTTGTTCTCAATAAACATTTTATTGGGACAATGATTACTCAATAAAGTTAAAACATATTTGTCCTTCAGCCTAATGGATATCACAAGATATTACATTCATTCTTGGAAATGATATATACTAAACCATTTATATATAAATTATAAAAAAACCTACTTGTTTTTTTTGTAAAATTGATCAACAATAAGTATACAATAAAAAACAACAAAGAATAACAAAGATTTGAATGGTTCGTCTTAAATAAACATTAACAAAAAAAAAAAAAAAATATGAATCAAATCAAAATAAGAATAAAAACAATAATATCTTTTCTAACTATATACTGGTACAATATTGACGATCATTGATAAATACGGGAATTTCCATCAAAGATTTTTTGTACGTTTTGGGGTAAACAAAGATTTTCAGATAGACGCTAACCACTGGGGGGTTTTTTTTTATTATAAAACCTTTCGAAATTTATTCAAAAAAAATAAGTGTTAGAAATATTTTTTATAAAACGAATTTTTTCAATGCTCAAACAGAGAACTTTTTATTTATCCTTTAAAAAAAACATATTTATCAATAACTTTTCGTAAATTTTTCTCAATCACGTTTATTTTATTTTATTTTATTTTTTTTAAAAAAAAAAAAAATAACATCTTATTCAAACAACGAAGAAGATGAAAGAAATGAAAGATAAATCATTAACGAATTCTCAATATTCACACACTCATAATCACAAAATCGGTTCAAAAATCATTTTATAAAATCAATTTTATATATATATATATATCAATCAACATGAATCATATGTTTAAACTTTATTTCTAAGTTGACATTCTAAGATGATCGTAAGATCTGAGAATTTAAGAATAAAAACTTAATTTGCATACATCATTAAAATATAAAAATCTATAACTATTTGAATCTATTGAATTAATTAATAAGAAGCCGATAAAAAAAATAAGAAAACAACAAGAAAAATTAAAAGGGTGATCAACATGAATGATTTTACTCATTGAAAATCAATCAAAATATTTGTACTAAATCGATAATCGATTTTCGTCAAAGGAAAGAACATAAATATAAATAATTTATAAAAATTTAAACAAAAAGTACGATAACTTTGTAAATAAACAACCCCCGAAGGGTCATTAGTAACTCGTAACAAGTGTACGAATTACTTGAGATGATTCCATTATGAATTGAGGTGCAAATGTTGTTTTTTCGTGATTTGCGGTTTTAATGCTTTGTCGTCGTATAATGTGTTTTTTTATGATTTTGTAAGCTTTGCAAGCTTTATAAGTTTTGGAAGTTTTGAAAGTTTTTGAATTTTTTGAAGTATTAGAAGTTTTGCGCATTTTTTATTTTATTTTATTTTTTGTGATTTGTTAAAAATTAAAATTTCTTTTGAATTTTGAAATCTTGTGGGGTGAAAAAATGAGTCATTTTATGTCAACGCAAAAAGTAAATCATTAAGTAATTGTGAGTTACATAAATTCAAAAATATAAAAAAAAAACTATACCGTTTCCTTTACCAATCCGATCGTCCATTGTTTAAAAAAAAAACTTTATTTGTGTAAATATGATTTTCTTGATACATTTGAAAACAAAAAAAAACCGTACACCAACCCACTTTCACGTTTGTCATTGTTTCTTTGCATAATCATCTGAACGAAACTTTATCGTAATAAAATTTTTCACAAAAAAAAAAAAAGTGGATTATTGTAAGTTCGACAATACGTTTACAAATCTTTATCTCAATTAATTTCTTCGAAATCTTTTTAACAACTAACTCAAAAACTATAGGGGATTAAAACGTTGTGTTCATAAATCAATCATCTTCAATTGGAAACTAGTGATACAAAATAAATCGTGTATTCTTTCCTCCATTTGTGTAATTTTATTATATATGCTTCTTTTTGTTTAATATGGAAAATTATCCTTTATTTGGAACCATTGTTTATAAGTTCATTGTCTGTAAGATCTTTTTTTTTTCCATTGATATAATAAATTGAAATACATCTATTATGAAATTAAAAGATAAGTTGAAATTTCAAAATGGAAGATTTGATAATCACAAGCCAAGCACAACATAATCAAAATAATTTTATGAAGAAAATTCCACATCTAACAATAATGAATTTTTAGTGTATCGAATATTAAATTCCATTTTCTAACAATTGTGGAGTAAATCCACCAGATAATTAAAAAAATTTTTTTTTATTGAAAACCTTTCCAAAATCCGAAAAAATCTAGAAATTTTAATTTTTTCCGAAAATTAAAAAATTTTCCAGCTTTGGTACCACCAATTTTTAATTGGAAAGTCTAAACGTAGTAAACTTCATTGTTTTTTTCTTTCATTTCCAAAGGTCTGGATTATGTCCCATTGCAATAAATTTCGGGACGTCATGGCGTCGATCGTACTTGTGTAATGTTTAATAAACTTTTAGATTGTAATTTATCGATTGGACGATTATTTTATAGTTCTGGTTAGGGATCCTTAACCTTTCCTTACGATTTAAGAGATTACTAACTCTAGAGAAAGTCTAATCACTTATCTATAAGTAAACACCCATCAAAAAAATGTCATAAATATTGTAAAAAGCGAAATGATATTCAAAATTGGCAATTTTGATGGGACCGCTTAATTATTAGGACCTAAATCCTAAAATTTTAAATTTTAAGAATTTCTGGGATTCCAAGAGGGTTTATTATCTATTTTCATTAAGTAGCTCATTAAAACTTTATAATAGACAAGTTTAATAATAATTTGTAAAAAATAATTCTTAATAATTTTCTTGGGACTTTTAGGACCGCGTAGGACCGCTTAACTTCCCTAGTTCTGGTTTTCTTTCTCTATGCTTAAATAAGTACGTCCCCAATCTGAAGCTTATAAATTCTTCAATACACACATTCAATTATCCGGACAGATTTTTTTTTTTAAAAAAAAAAATGTGGAGATGAGATTGATTATCTTCATAGATTAAATGGATTATTAAAAAATAACCTCTCCCCACTTCCCCGCATGGGTTCGCGCATCTGTGTGATCGATAACGTAATTAGTGAAGACCAATAAAATTTATATTTCTTTTGACTACACTAAAAGCTTTGATTATGAAAGGTGAAGAAAGAATCGAAAACGGTTTGAACAAATTCAAAAAATTTTGTTGCTTGTATAATCAAAATATCTTACAAGTAAAAGAACGTCCGGAACACAAGTGTAACGAAATGCGACCAATCACTTTTTTGAGCTGCTAGTCCTCCGAACTCATTGCGACTTAAATGT